CATCTGGACGTTTGTCGCAATTTAACACACAGCACTTCATTGTATTAGTTTTTACGCAGTCTTCAACTCAAAAAACTCTTACAAATTGCAAATTAACACGATTTAAACTGATTTTTCACTTATAATTCAAATTTCTCTTTCGCTGATTTGAAAACAAAGGTTTATTTACAAGTTACCACAACTGTCAAAATCGGCAAAACCAAAGTAGCGGTACCACTGACGGCGCCACCTTTGTTCGCTGCACCGTGGTAGTGAGGGTTATAATCCCTAAGGCTTTCTGCTCATTGGTCGTCCAATCATAGTTGAGTCATAGTTATCGTCATGAAGCAACGATTACATGACGATTACACTTCTGCACACTTGGTCGTGATATTTCAATTCATTTGGCGTCTAAAAATTCACTTGAAGCAGGTATTTTCTGTTTTTTTTGGTTGATATTTTCGCGAAATATTTACAAAAACCTGCAATTTTTTAAATATAGACTGTGCTGCAACATTTCTAGACGTAATTTTCCAGTAATATCTCTTCTTTTTTTTTCCTGGAATGTGTTTTTTGTATGCACACAGAGACTTAATACAATTTCGTCATATTTTATAGTTAAAACGCTCATGTTTATTAAATTTTAATGCAATTATCCACTTTTTAATAATTTCCACAGATTTTATGCAAAAAAATACTAATTTTTATACAATTTTAATGCAAATATTAACTTTTTCACTAATTTTCCCCCATAAAATGTAAACAAACAATGCGTGCACAACGATTAGCAAACGACAGTGCCGTACTTATCCGTTTCTGCATCTTCTACGATTTGCCGATAACTAGCCGATAACGACAAGTGTGCAGATCTCCTTTGAAATGCATGTGCTCGGCTCAAAATTTCAGGGCGAGACGATAACGCAACTATGATTGGACGACAAGTGTGCAGATAGCCTAAGACTGCTTTTACACAATTCAAGTATTGAATTCAAATCTGCTCGCATGTGGACGAGAGGGCGTGAGAAGAAAAGGGACGAGTACACATGCGTCTGTTTCGTCAAGTCGTTTCAACTTTCTTGCTTTGCTTTTGGCATTTTCGTTGCTTCCCATTTAAAGAACCAAAAACTTGAATTCAACAGAATTGGAACGTGTAAAAGCAAATAGAAAACACAAAAGAGAATGAGCAAGAATTGCTTTCAAGTACTTGAATCAAGTAAATCGGGTGTAAGCCACGATCCAGAAAATAAAGGTCGCGCCATTCGCGGACCGCTAACCCTCTCTTCGTCGATTTGACAGCATCCACCCAATCGCTGACGTCATAAAATACTTTTGTTTACATTCACTGTTGCCAACTTGATGCTTTTCGCACCAAATTTAGTGGGTATTCAAAACGTGAAAATTTTTGAGTTTTGCGCTAGGTGCGTTTTTGGTGCTTTTGTTTTTAGTTTGAAGACACCAAATTAGAAAATCTCAAAAAAAATTAAGCAAAATTTATAGCAATCGTAAGTGTGGTAAGCAATTTTACAAAAATTTTAACAAAATCATGGCACAATGACAATCATAAGTGACAAAGAAATATGTGGCAGCACCTTCAAGCATGCCAGAAGAAATCGACCGTTGTGCAAGAAACATTGATTTTTGAATCGGCGTCCTTACAATAAAATTATGTATTCATATAAAGTCCATAAAATACATCAATACAAATTTGGTGCTTTTTCAAAGTCAAAGCTTGGCAACACTGCCTTTTGGTCGATGCTTCCTCTTTTTCTTGTCGAGTACGTCTTGCTCTCTCATTCTGGTATTTTTTGACGTCACGGCCAGTTGCTCTCAGCTCGATTGGCGCAATCTTGTATTCTATAATTCTTGGGTGTAAGCGCGGCCAAAGGCCGCATACGCAGGAAGTTGTTCTCTGCAAAAGGTGTTCAGCCCCTCTTCTTTGGCAACACAGAAAAGAGAATTCTACGTAGTGAGAGTTGTAATCCCTAATCGCGGTCGGATACCGCCTACGCAAAAAGGAGTTAGACGCTTGGTTCCGCTAAAGTGCACTTTTACCTATTATATTAACATTTTTCATTTGGGGTGTTCACAGTTCGTTCCAAATAGTGTCTGAAAATGTAGACGTCTACATTTTAAGACGTTTTCTAACCGTAAAATCTGTGGTGTTGTTGTTTCCCATACAAAATTGGAAAACGACGCCGTCTACATTTTGTCACACTCAAAGGTATGTTTTTTACGCGTCTACATTTTGCAACCTCGCAGCAGGGTTGCATTATAGCAATACTAATCGCATTTTTTTTATTTATTGGGCACGTTTTCTATATTTGCATTTAATTTGAGCGCAATTTCTGATGAAAAGAAATAAGTCAAGGAAAAGAAATAACAAATATTAGGAATTGGTAATTAAGTTAAATAATTACAATTTTTCAGAAACAAAATCGAAAGGCGACATATAATAAAGCACGCAAAGAAGAAATGTCTGGCAACACCAGCAAAGTTTTGAGACGATTTTGCGACGACTGCTAGAAAGGGGTGCTCACAGTTTGATGCTAAAGATTTCTCAAAATGTAGACGTCTACATTTTCAGACACAATTTGGAACGAACTGTGAACACCCCAATTCTTTATTTGTTAACTAACTTTATAAAAGTTTGGTTTGGTTGATGAATACATAGGTGAAATACATTTAAAAATAAAATAAACAGAAAGACCGGCAGTATATCAAAATAGATTAAATTTTTGTGTTGTTTTGTATATAAAGAGATATCTATTGGTGGGGAATTTTACGAAATTTCGGGAAAAATCGGTTAATTTCGTTATCGAACTCGGGGAATTCTCAGAAATGAGTGGGCTACCCGGGTCGTAACACGAGTTTGGAACTCGGTGAATTCCGTGCTCGGTATTTTTTAAGGTATTTAAGTATGAAGTACTTGTTTTTTAAATTTTGCAAATTTTTGCCCCAAAACGTAACGAACAATTTGACCGCTACAAACTAAAAAAAGGGCCTGTGCCAATCATTAGCAAAATTCTTTGGTAAAAAATCTTTTTGCGTTAGTGCACAGCGAGTAGCTCCCGGAGACTCCCGTGTGCATCAAGAATGATAGAATACAAGATTGCGCCGTCCTGGACGTTGACATTTGTGTAGCACTAGTAAACAAAGAATAGAGCGAAAAGAAGAACGAGTTGAAACAGCCAAAGCAGTTCACTTTACTGCGAAAAACGTGTTTTAATTTAGCTAAATGCGAAAATATTGCATTTTTCACCTAATCTATTAGAGAACAGTGAACATTGTAGTGCACTCCATTGCTTTGCAGTTGAGGCTGCTTCAGCAAACGTTTTAGTGCATTCCATTGCTTTGCAGTTAAGGCTGCTGCAGAAAACTGCAGCAGCGTCTCTGCGGGACTGATTAGTTAACTAGCTAATGGAGGCTGCGTGGAGCAGAAACGAAATCATTGTGAGGAAATGCTGTTAATATTTTGAAACATTTCAGGAACGGCTTTGCCGTGCCCTATGTACACAAAATGCAGCGATTCGTCCCAGCGCTACACTTGCATCTACGCTTCTTGCATCTTGACGGTTGTCGCAATTTAACACACAGCACTTCATTGTATCAGTTTTTACGCGGTCTTCAACTCAAAAATCACTCACAAATTGCAAATTAACACGATTTAAACTGATTTTTCACTTATATTCAATTTTCTCTTTCGCTGATTTGTAAACAAAGGTTTATTTACAAGTTACCACAACTGTCAAAATCGGCAAAACCAAAGTAGCGGTACCACTGACGGCGCCACCTTTGTTCGCTGCACCGTGCGTGTGCATCACTAAGATAGATATATAAGTAGGGAAAGTACTGTGACCAGTTGGTCTATTATGCCCTTGGCTTATAAAAACACTGAATCCAGCCCCAGATACTCTATGAATTTTAGAATAGATCCCGGGGACAGAGAGTGTATGTGCTCTTCACTTTGTCTCTTTGTCGGAGTCGCAGAAACGACATAAGTTGCTTGACCACAACAAGTGGCCTCTAAGCCTGCAATGACACGTAAAAATGCCTGTTATAACTCTTAGCCTCTCCTTGGAGAGGTTTATATGTAGCCTGTATATTTTTATATTATAATAATAATAGATTGGCGCTTACACATATGTTAGTGTTTGGCCGAGCCTCTAATCCCATTTGCGGCGTGCGCCTTGATGTTGTCACTCAACATCATACCCTCTTGACTTGACGAAGTCCCATGATGCTTCGCCAATGGAGTTCCCTTAGTTTATTGTTTTCCTCCCTGTGCGCCTCCTTTATCCATGAACGAAAGACACAAGAACACGAGGGAAGGAAATAAAGAAAAAAGTTATTTTCTAGCTGCCGAAATCTCGACGCCATCTTTGTTGTAAGAAGTAAACAATGAAGAGAACGGAGAAAACCGCGAAATTGTTGAACGCATGAATTATCATTTTTATTTTGCAAATTCTTCTATAAATCATGCCATTGTGTTAAATTATTCTTTATCTTATGTGTACACACGTTGTCACAGGCGAAAATGAAGAAAATAAAGTAAAAAGCCATCACCAAATTGCAAACAACGAAGAAATGTAAACAAACCGCTAATGTCAAAATCGTTAAATCGTACTAGCTTTCACCGAAAGGAAGGGCTTCGGTCGTATTGGGGTCTAGGCTAGCTGGTCAGCTTCTTTACTTCCTTCGACACCCATGCGCCCTCACAGTTGTCAAAAATTTACTATGCAGCCTACTTTGATACCAATTGGCACATGCCCAAGGAACTTAATTTGATTTTGCCATTTTACCGCTTTGTTTTGATACACTTCAGCGTGTTGTCGCTTCTTATAGATTTGCGTCCTTTGCCAAAATATAATTCCCAGATTGAATTGTGAATCACCCCAAAGACTTCTACTTTCCTTGATACTAAAAAAGTTGTAAATTTCTTGCCTATCTGGCATTCTTTTTGTCAATAAATTACTTAATTCACTCGTTACAGTGTATTCGGTTACTTATAGCCGCAGTCAGATAATTTGTTCGTTCCATAAATTTTGGTCGAAACTTCTTTGGAACGTCTTGAATTTTTTCGGAGCAAAAAAGTTGTTCTACATAAAACTACTAAAAAATATAAATATTGTTTTCACCGGTTTATAGACGTTCAGATTTCATTCGACTCTTGCTGCAGGTAAAATTTAACAATACTTTCAATTAATTGTTGTCATGTCTGTTTTCATCATATCGCAATAGCAACTAGCTTGTTTGAGAATAGAGAAAATGAATTAACAAGATTTAATGAGTCATTAGTGAAGTAATGCACATATTATGAACAAATTGTTTTTGAGTAAAAGTCGACAATTGGGCGTATATATGATATACATACATGCGTATACTGTAAATACGTATTTTCATATTCACATATTACAGATCTATTCATATAAGCATGTACTTAATATATGTAAATTAATATGTGCATATTGCAAAACTAATCACGTTAGTTATGGATTTAATCACTGTGAAAGTGTGCCCAATCAATGTCTACCGAAGTCTAGCTTCCACCGATGTATTCTGAAAATATTAAAAATATCAAATACATATGTACATAAAAGTTAACTTTACGCTTACGTGTTTAACCTACCTAGTTCCTTTACTACAAGTACTAGTTTAAGGTAATAAAAATACATTGCACAGTATTAAAGCTGTCATTATTTTGGAAGTAAATTTGTTGCATGATAAATTTTCGAGCCTAAAATAGAAGTATGTACTTGAGGGAACTATTGTTGTTGGATAGAACTGATCATCTTTAATTAGCTGTGAATTGATGGAACACATCTATGAAAGTACATACCAAGGCGTATTTGACACCTTGGTACATACGGTAAATGTGGAAACATATGTATTGTCGCAGTTGCAATTGCAATGGTCATGTCATCCCACTTGCATTCCTCGCCTTTCTATTGCTCGTAAATATTGTTTGGAGTATGCTGCTGACGAACACAATCCGGTAATGTGGACCCGACGGTCGTTGGGTCGATTGCTTTGGAGTATCGAAAGATTCTATATATCGACATTTGATGGTATAATTAAAAATTATTGACAGAAGGTTCATTCATTTCATCGCTTATTCGCAAATAATTACATACACATCTCCACAGAAATTGATTTACTTATGAAATTTACTTTCGATCGCTAAGAAATGTCAACAAAATTAAATAGGTACCTTGGATTGGTAGGAGAAATGTGATCGATGTTTGGCTGTGCGTTCGTTCGTATAAAAATACCATACAACACATATTTAAATGAAGAACAAGGTGGACTTATAGTTCGTCTCTTAGAATAGCAATGAATAGCTCGCATATACTACGAATTTATAATAATAAATGTGTTGGGCAGGTACCTCAGTCAAGGATCGAAAATTTTATTTTGGACTTTGTGAAGATGCTATTAATCAAAATGGACTCAGAAAATACTAGGCAGTTAACATTATTTTTGTTACAATTGCATTTTAAACAAAACTTTTATTAGAAAAGTGTATCACCCCCAAATTTCTTAAGCAAACAACTTTTTTGCTCCTCCAACAAAGTTTAAAGCGATATTTTAAATAATCCAACATTTTTTACATGTGTTAAATGTAGCAAACAAATTTTAATTATGCCCGGCCCATGATAATGGGCTTGAAATTTATCATCTATCCATTAAAATTCGCCAAATGCCCTTTATCATAGCACTCTAATGGCAATAAACACCTTAATTTTTTATCGTATCATCATTGCACTCCCATTTGCCGTCGTCTAGGGTGCAAAAGTTAGTGCTATGGCATCATACATATCGAGACCTAGCTGCCAAAATAACGCAAGCGACATTTATTTCAAAATTTTCTTTTTGATGCAGAAATGTATCTAGATAATCGAGGAATATTTCTGCATAAAAAATAAAAAATTTTGAAAAAAATGTCGCTTACGTTATTTTGGCGGTTAGGGCTCGATATGCATACTGTACCTTTGGAAGAAAATAACGATTGAATTGGATGGATAACCTCAAAGTTAGCCTCAACCGTTGTTGTTGTTGTTGTAGCAGCATACAAATTCCCCAAAGAGTTTTTGGGGAGTGTTGCTGGAGTGACAGTCCTTGGTCAAATATAAATCTGGGTCGTTCCGGTTACGTAGACCCGACTGTCGCGGGAACGTAGCCTCAACCGTAGTTTAGATTCATTAAAGACGGTGGACATTTTCAAAATTGAAAAAATTCGGTACATTTTATTTTTTCTTGAAAAAGCTTTAGACTGGATTCCTTCGCCGGGTAACTCTTTACCTGCTCAAATACACATAATTTTTATGAAACGTTTTAGATTTTCTATTTTGATAAAACTTTAGATTAATGCTGGATTTCCCCTAGGCATTAAAATGACAAAAAATGAATGCCATTTAAAATAATGCCATGTGGTAGTGAACTTAATGACTTGTTTTAATGTAATGACACGATTTTTTAATGCCCGACTTCGTCATTTGTCATTTTTGCCATTTAATGCCTAGTGGAAATCCAGCATAAGGTTGATAAAATTTAGATTAAGGTTCATAAGAGCTTACACAGACGGCAGCATTGATCTGGATCAACTCGGGAATTAACTGCATTTGATCCGGATTAAGTCCCAGATCAAATCCCTATCAACGCTGCCGTCTGTTTACGCTTTAAGTTGTTTTGAATATCATCAGGATTTTGTAAATCCAATTATAACAATTATTAGTCTAAAAGTGAACACGGTTACACTGCCTAACGGGTAACAACGATGTCCAAAATGGAAATGCGTAGTTGAATTACAAAAGAATGCGATTTTAATTAATCAATGCATTTTGTGGTTTTGAAAATTTTCAAAAATTTGTTTATATAAAACACATTTTCAATATGTCCTAGAGTACAATTGGCTTCCTTACCCGTATGGTAACCTTTGGAGTCAACATATTGGCTGAATTTCTTTATTCATTCTGAACGTTTGGAATAAACTTTTTTGTTTACTTATTCTTTAGAACGTTCCTGATGATATGTTAACGTATATTTCAAAAGCATTCTGTTTATTCCGGCTGTGAAATGGGATTATCCGGAATGTATAAAGAAACGCAGCCATTATTTTGGGGTTGAAAATGACATCATCTTGATAACGCGCATGCGCTGATCATTGGTTAATATCAAGGCGTATTTAACAAGGTGGTGTTGGCCGTATATAAGTAAAAAATTACACTAACAAATAATACGCTGATGTCCATACTGTCATTGGTATGAGTTACAACAAACACACCATTTTGACGTAATGGCCTCCACGGCGAAAAACTCAGCAGGCGCCCCAACACCACCTTGTTTAATACACCTTGGTTAATATGCTGGGAAAATTATTGATTACTGGACATATGCATACAGCGCAGA